TTTTAATAAAAAGAAAGGAAATAATGAATTTTTCCATTATATAGATTTTATTCATTGATTAACAAGTCATGGTCAACTTCTTAAAATTGGGAAGAGAAAGAAGGAAAATGGTATAATTAGCATTGTGTAAAGTTAGTTGGCCAGAAATTTTGTAAAACGAGCCTACTCACTCTTATGGTCCGGTCCATGTAGATCTCATTTCTAGGCCCATACACTTTATCTATTGAATCGAGCAAAACTGCACCTTTTTTCTCATTCATTTTCCTTGTAACTTTATCTCTTCAACCTAATGAAGATTTATTTTTTTTTCATGTGGAGATTCTTAAAATAGTCTAGCAAAATATGAAACAGTTAAGGGAACTTGGATTCATTTAGCATGGTTGTTCACACTCTAATTTTACAACAGAACACCAATTAGAAGCTAATATTCGGGCACTAGAGTAGAAAAATATGAGTGTTCAAGAATTTTATTCTAATATGACTAACCTTTGGGATGAGTTGGCTCTTATAGAGGATAGTGAATTTCAAGCTTATAAACAATGTATTAAGCATAGAGAGTGACAACGTTTGGTTCTAATTTTTGTAGCTCTCCATGATGATTTTGAGGGACTCCGTGGGTCAATCCTATATCCTAATCCACTTCTTTCCGTTGATATGTTGTTAGTGAACTTTTGTTAAAGGAAATATGTTTGAAGTCTCATGCAGGAAAATATCTCTATCTACATCTATTACTTTAGTTTTGGCAGTCCCTTCTCGACCACCTGCACATAGTCAGTAATGATACCCATAGTAGTGACAGTACAGGTCCTCTAGAAATTTGGGAAGTCATTCACCACAGCTATCTTATAAGCCCAATACAAACACAACGACAATTGTACCTCATTTTGACTCGTCTGGTATTGGAACTCCACATTCTTCTGATCCCAATTTAACTGACCTCACTAAGGAGTTTCAGAATTTCCTTTCCATACAGTGTCATGCTATATCTACCTCTTTACGTCTAGGATTTTCATCCCATAATCCTTTCGGTACTTCTTCCTCCATATGAGCTTTAGATTCAGGTGCTTTTAATCATATGTCACTTGACTCAACATCCTTTTTTTTCTTTGTGCCCTTCTAAGTTGTCTGTATCTGTTATGACTTCTAATGGCACTCTGATGTCATTTGACAAGTGTCAATTCTATTAGCACACATGATTTATCACTTTGAAATGTTTATTGCATCCCTATTCTTTCCATTAATCTTATCTCTATTGGTCAATTTAGTGATTCTGGATACTTAGTTCAATTTTCTTCTACTGCTTGTTATATACAGAATTCTCGATCTCAGAAGCTGATTAGGATAAGCCATAGACAGTGGGATTATAGTTTTGGACAATCTGAGAAGACCAAATGTCGCAGCTACCGCTATTGATTTATCATCATTTTGTTTGAGTCCAATCTAATCTTTATTGTGACATTCTCATATTTGTCATGTTTCTTTTAGTTGTATGAGACATTTCATTTCTAAAGGAGTTTTGATAAACTTACAGACTCGTGATATTTCTGATTAGTGGTTACAAACTAGCAAAATTCTCTACTTCACCTTTTAATCAATGTACTTATTCTTCTATTGCACTATTTGATCTTGTTCATTATGATGTATAGGGACCTTACCCTATTGCTACGAAAGGATGATCTCGATATTATGTTTCTTTTATTGATACTAACAGTCAGTAAACCTCTTATGCTGACGTCCTACAACAAAATAATGTCGCTGAAAGAAATATAGGCATATAGCTGAAATTGTTCGTTCTCTTATAAAGTTCCAGCGAATTCTAAGGTGAAGCAATCCTTATTTCTGTTCATTTAATCAATAAAATTCCATCACCTCACACTTCCGATTTGTTATCCTTTGAAACATTGTATGGACATCCTTCTGGTTATTCTTATTTGAAAGATTTTGATTGTACTTGTTTTGTTCTTTGTCCTAAAGTAGAGCGTAACAAGTTGACTTTACGCTTTTCCATTTGTGCATTTTTAGGTTATAGCGAGGGATTAAAAGGTTATCATTGTTTATATGCCGTTAGTCAAAAACTGTATATCTCTCATCATTTTGTGTTCTTTGGGCATATTCAATTTTTCATATTCGTAATAATTCTCATAACATGACTAAGTCTGAACTCATTTGCATTAATCCATTTTCTGATGGTATAGATTGTCCACCCTTCCATACCCCATGCATTACATATACAAATGCACTGGATCAGTATGTCTTTGATGTTCCCTCTCCATCTATGGCCTCCAAAGCACATTTTGTTATAGTTATTAGGCTCACCCCCCCGAACATTGATCCGATCGAGGTACTGGGTCATCGGGTTATTGGTTGGATCGGTGAACTGACGATTGGACCGATGTACCATTGCTTAAAAATTATTTAAAGTAAATTTCTTTTTGCTTGATACAAAATTAAAGTTTTCAAGTTATTTATCACTAATATTTTTATGCCTTTAAATTAATGACTTGTTGAACTTATTTATCATTGATAATGGTTACATTTTGATTTTATAATTTTGTATGTTATATTAAAAAATTATATTTTCCCTTTTTGTGATGTACAAATCATTTATTAGTTATAGACCAAAAAATTATGTGTATTATCTACTCAATTTATCTTAGTTAAAATTAAAATTTGCTAACAAAATAAGTATATAAAACAATTATTTGATATTACAAAATGAATGAAAATGTTGGACTAATTTTTTAAAAATATTTCTAGAAGATAGCAAATTGTACTTCTCCAAATGAAAGTACAACCAACTTCTGAAGTTCACGCATTATATAAATAATCATACATGGACTTGGGGGCTATTGTTACGCCTTGTCTGACGAGGCTCTAGAAAAGAACCACTTGGTAGTTAACTAGAACATTAACATAGGCCCACACTCTGTATCATCATCATGGTTGACCTGAAGCCTTGATAAGGGTATGAAAATGATGAACCACCTCAAATGAAGCGCCATGTGTGAGCCAAAACTCCATGACCGAAGCGAGACACTACATGCTATAAAGCAACCTTAAAGAAGGTTACACCGCTTCAGACGAAGCATCATGAGAGTAGCCGAAGCCCCCAGAATGAGGCAAGGGACCTCTAGCACTAAGAGGCATTCAACCCACACTTTCCAAGAGACCTTCTGTGATTGATTGATATGATTAATTTTAAACAAACACGTCAAGTCTTGTCAACCTATTCCAAAGTGTCAGACCTAGGCTATAGAGCAGCTACCTTTTCAGAAAATATTAAGAGCTTGTTTGGGAGGGATTAAAATCAGATTAAAATTGAAAATATAGTCATTATTGTTGACTTTTATTAGACGGGTGAGACCCAATAACGACCATATTTTCAATTTTAATTGGATTTTAAGCCCTCTCGAACGGGGCCTAAATGTTGCAAGGCCTATGATGGATAATGTAACCCCTATGATGGAATGCCTCGGCTACTAGGATAAAGTCACGTGCTTTTTCATCCAACGGTCACTACTTCATCCATTTTACTATAAGAACCCACATCTAATGCCATTTCAAAGGTAATGCAATTTCAAGTATCCAACAGTAAGATAAATCTCTCTCTCTCTCTCTCTCTCTCATTTTATATACTCATATATATTACCTCCGGTGCCCGAACACCCAAGTGACTCACATCTAAAGTACGTCTCACACCCAATATATTATTTCTCATCTAAAGTACGTCTCACACTCACGTGCAATTAACAATTTGTACAACTGTAAAGGAGCAAGGCTACTTGACATGAGTGGAGTCGGGATTTGTTGGCCTATCAACCTATAAAACGGGATCAACAATTTCCATTCTATTTTCCACCACATCAGCACAAGGGAGGGAAATGACAATATAATGAAAACATTTTTCATCACTTGTTTCTTTTTTATTTACTTTTCCCTATTAAATTCATGAATTATGGTCAACATAGTAAAAAACAAAAATTGGTGATGTTGGAAAGAAGAAGGAAAATGATGTGTCTACCGATAAATAATTAGTGTTGTGAAATGTTAATTGGTCTGAAAATTCAAAAAAAAACTTTGATCTCATTTCTCAAGCACCACATGCAACTTATCTATTGGATCAGCAACAAACACTCCAAGTAATTTTGCACGAGGTCGTTTTTACGAAAAATCGGATATCCATTTTAAAAATCCATAAGAGGTTATTTCTGTTTTATTTTTCTACCTTGTCAACAAACAAAGGATGAAAATGCGAGTAAAATGAAACATGTAAGACACGTCAAATTACCTTTAATTTTTAATGTTAGTTGAAGTTCAATGACAAAATGAAACAAATGAAGTTGAGTGACCCAATTTCAGCCTAGCTTCAATTTCCTTGAAAATTTAGCCCTTTCCAAATTATAATGAGGGGAATAGTAATTTTTTTGAAAAATGTCTAGTTAAAAAAATGAAAAGTTTTTAAGTTTGCGTAAGGGTAATTTGCGCAAAACGTCCCTACTTATGACGGGTTCTGTGGAAAACGTCCCTACGTTTGATTTTTTGGTGCAGAACGTCCCTACCTTTACAAATTCTTGCGCAAAACATCATTTTTATCCATTTTTAACATAAAATGACCATTATACCCTCCTATATAAATAAAACAAAAAAGAAAAGAAAAGAAAAATAAAAAATAAATTACAATCTGCTCCTAAACTTTTTAAAAAATGCAAATTAATCCAAAAACCTAATTTAATTTCACCCAACATCACAAATCGTAATTCTCTCCCTCAAGTTTTAGATCTCTCTTCTAACTTGATTAATGGATCATTACCTCCAGATTTTGGAGGCAATAATCTGAGTTATTTTAACGTGTCGTATAACAGACTGAGCAGCGAAATCCCACCAGAATTTTAGACAAATTCACTATTTTCTTCACCATTTTAGACAATCCGTTCACCTTCCAAAAAAAAAAAAAAAAAAGAACGTTGTTGTTTTTTTAAATTCATTTTCAATTATACATTTCATGCGATNGATCTTTCATTCAACAATTTGACCGGTCCAATTCCAGAGTCCAATTTTTTCTCTAACCAAGATGCAAAATCATACTCCAGCAATCCTGAATTATGTGGGAAGCCACTGAATAATCCGTAGCCAATGCGATCTTCAATTGCAACTTTGCCACATGATTCTGCACCACCAGCAATCGCCGCCATACCCAAGCCCATAGACTCAACTCCTGCAACTGCTTCACCAGGCAACGGTGCCACCTCAAATCCACAAGAAGGATAAAAAAGTAGGCTTAGAACTGGAACAATCCTGGGAATCGTAATTGGAGATGTGGCTGGAATTGGTATTGTAGCACTGATTTTCATACACGTATATCATCTGAAGAAAAGGAAAGAATTAGGGAGGTTGGAGGGAGGCGACGGGTTGTAGAGAGAGAATGGAGAGAGAGAATTAGGGTTTGTGATATTGGGTGAAATTAAATTAGTTTTTTGGACTAATTTGCATTTTTTAAAAAGTTTAGGAGCAGATTGTAATTTATTTTTTATTTTTCTTTATTTTTCTTTTTTGTTTTATTTATATAGGAGGGTGTAATTGTCATTTTATGTTAAAAATTGGTGAAAATGACGTTTTGGGCAAGAAAATGTAAAGGTAGGGACGTTTTGCACCAAAAAATCAAACGTAAGGACGTTTTCCACAGAACCCGTCATAGGTAGGGACGTTTTGCGCCAATTACCCTAAAATTTATTATATGTACATCAAATTTCATGCATTTTTAGACTAATAAATAGAGACTTGCAATTGCATCCACTACATGATAATTTATCTGTTTGTACAAGTTTTTGCGAAATTTATTATGTAAAAATTCATATATTTCATATTACGACTTTAGTTTTTCTATTTTCATTTCACATAAATATAAACGTTTAAGTGTTCGAAATATATATTCAGAAATTTCATATTTCTCTAGTAAATTCATTTTAGGATTGCATCCCTTTTTATTTGGTCAATCATTACTTCAATCGATATATTTCGACGCAATTATTTTGATTTCTCACTATATGATACAGTACATCATGTTCAAAAGTATTATCGACAATTTTTTCTTTTTTAATTCTATTTCTTTTACACAATAACATAACTTATAAAGATATCAAAATTTTCAACATAATGGATACCTGAACATTTTCTGGGTTTTATAATTTATTATGTCTAAATATTCATCAAGACTATATGCCTTCTTAATGGGACCGGGATCATCTTTGCTAGTTGCTCCATTTTTGTTTGGAGATTTTTATATTAGAATCGAATATTATCACGCTTCAAACATGCCATAAGTTTATCAAATATAATATTATTTGTGATATTGGGTGAAATTAAATTAGTTTTTTGGACTAATTTGCATTTTTTTAAAAAGTTTAGGAGCAGATTGTAATTTATTTTTTATTTTTCTTTTCTTTTCTTTTTTGTTTTATTTATATAGGAGGGTGTAATTGTCATTTTATGTTAAAAATTGGTGAAAATGACGTTTTGCGCAAGAAAATGTAAAGGTAGGGACGTTTTGCACCAAAAAATCAAACATAAGGATGTTTTTCACAGAACCCGTCATAGGTAGGGACGTTTTGCGCCAATTACCCTTTGCGTAATATTATTTTATTGAAAAACGTGTGATTGATAAGAAAAGAGAAAAAAATGAATTTTAATTTAATGAGAGCCAAACAGGGGCTTAATGACGACAATTAAATTACTAGCAATTATAATGATTTTAAAGATTAAGGAGGGGTCCAATAACGCAATTTTTCTTGTTTACTTGCAAGTTGCGGTCAAGTCATAAAAAGTAGAAACCAATGGATTGGAAAGAAAAAGAAGGAAAATGACAAGTAATTAATATGGTATAAAGTGAGTTAGCCTAAATATTTGTAAAACACGTTTGTGGGGCTTGATAAAGAACAAGTCAACTCAATCTAGCGATCCATGTCTTGTTTATGAGTGGATCTCATTTTTGAGGCAACATGGACATCTTATCAACCTTCCACCCAAGTAATATAATGTTAAAGAGGGTTGATAAGACTCGACTTATGATCGATTTGATCAATTTTCCTTCAAATAATGCTAAAAGACTAAGACTTTAAAATACTATCTTCAAATAATGCTAAAAGATAGAGTCCCACCCGGGCTGTGGATATTTATTTTTTCCACTCATAATCCGCATTAATATTGGAGATGCTCTTAGCAACCTCACAATGGCAACGATAAAGGAGTATCCAAATTTTTGTTTTGACTTCTTATCGCAACTTATTTGGCCCCCTGCTTGGTTAAGTTAAAAATCAAAATTAAAATTTAAGTTAAAGTCAACAATTAATTATAATCATACATTTTATGTGACTTATAAATTTTCAACAACACATTTCGTAGGATATAATTAATTTTTGTAAGGCTCAAATATAGTAAAATGTTCTTGTTAAATTAATTATCATTTTAGTAAATTAAGATATAAAAGACGATTCATACTATTGTATTATATAAATAAGACTATTTTAATGAAATGGAAAATTGAGTGTTCTCAATTATGTATCAAAATTCTCAATATTTTATTAATCTATTTTACGTAATTGGTACTTGGTCTTCGCTTACACCTAGAACACATTTAAATTCTATTTTAAGCTGGTTAAATTTATTTTTTATCTACACATTACGTACGACCCACAATTTACTATCTATTTATTAACTAAACATTCGTAATATCCACAAATTATAAGCACTGTACCCTCGTTATAATCTTTTTAAAATCCAATTTTATACAAACGCATTTTCAACCACTTATTTTTTCAATAATAATTTTATCAGTGGGCTTATAATTTTTTTCTATTTTTTAATTACACATTCTTAAAAAATCATTTTTCACAGAAATTACTTAGTTGTCAACCATACCATAACTAATATTTCAAGTAATAACTTATGTGGCAGCAAACGAAAATGGTAAATGGCTTTAGACTCGACGGTTAAATGGCAGGTTTCTTTTTACTACCTTTATTATGTAACGTAGTAATACATTGGCATTGCATACAATGATTACATGTAACATTTGTTGCAATGTGATTTCTAATTGAGTAGTTTTCTTCAATTTAGGGGACGGTAGAAAAATTTGAAACATTGAAGTCAACGATTCAAATGAACCTTAATTGAAATTCATTGACCTGCTTGAGATAAATTAAGTTTACAGACAATTGAAAATTTGCTAAAAGTTTAGTGACCGTACAATACATTTACCCATTATTCACGTTAAGTTTGTTGTGGGTATGACAAGTAACAAATTTGGTTTCTGTTTTAGGTTGAATAGGGATGACAACATGGCGGGTCGGGGCCGGGACAACATCCCCCGCCTCGTTACTTGTTTAAGGCGAGGCGGGGCTCTTGTACTACTTATTTTAAATTTTTTTTTTTAAGTTTTTGATAATTCATTTTATTGTCTCCATTCATTAGAGTGAGATAATAATATATTTTTAATATTTATTTATTTTTAAAAGTTTTTAATAAATTTATATTTTAGTAAACTAAGATTTTTATTATTTGTCATATTTTTTAGATAATTTTAGTTGCTAGAATTAATGAAATTTCGTGAAATTTTTCATTTAAAGTATTTAATTCTAAAAAAAATGAATGGGGCGGGGCACAACACCCGTTACCCATACCCTCCCCGACCTCGACCTGACTACCCAATTAAGCGGATAATTCCCCGTCCTCTTTCGAATTTTTTTGTCATCCCTAAGGCTGAAATTGAGACCATATTTACTCGATATTTTTCTTTTATTTTGAGTAATATAAACAATTTTGATGGCATATTAATTTTAAAATCGTTTATATTTCTATAATTATACTTCCCTTTTTTCTATTGTAGACTAGAGGGAAAGCAACTTTTCCCAAAAAGAGATTACAACATTGATGGGATAAGATATGGTCTAGGGTGGCAATGTGGAGAGTCGAGTCGGTTCGATCCTTGAATATTCGAACTCAGCTCTTGCTTAAAAACATTGCTCGGTTTGGCCCATTGGCTCGTGGGCCTCATAGGCCAAGCCGAGCTTAGCAATCCATGAGTCCTCCATCTCTCTCTCTCAAATTTTTTTAAAAAAAATGAAACCATCATTTATTTTTAAAGCTTGGGATCAGCTACTTTTAATATAGATGGAGTTAAAAATTTTACACGAATATAATATTATGTGTATATTTTTTAAAAAAAGTCAAAAAAATTACAGAAAATAAAAATATTTAAGAATTGAAACGAATATTGACTCGGAAAAGAAAGAGGGTCAAGGACAATGGTTTGAATAGGGATTAAATTAATTAAAAAAAAACTTATATAGATATGTACTATTTAAAAAAGTAAATTCTTATATAGATATATACTTTTCAAAAAATAAATGTAAAGTTTGAGAGTATTTTAAGTTTTTAGTTAATGATTCTTTATTAACCATTTCAACATGTTAGTACTAAAATGGGCTTAAAGAAAGTCATAACCAGTGTTATAAACATCGGACCGAAGCGATCGATTCCATGAGTAATCCCAGGAAATCGGTTCAAAATCCTGTTCGGATATAGCTTCAAAATGGGTAAAAAAAACCATTCAACAGCCTGGTTTAACTACTGACCAATGATCTGGAATCGATTTATCCGATTTTGTCAATTTTTTAATTGCTTGAAAATTATAAAATTTTCAACTTTTAGCTCAATGAATTCGTAGGCCCAAAAAAGGTTATGATACAATTGTTGGCCTATCTATTTATAGGCTCCATTTTTAGTGCTTTAGTAAGAAGATTTCGATGTGTGATAAGTTACACTGCTACGTGTATTATAGTATATTATTTTATTAAGTTAATTAATCATTTTTCTATATTTTCTTAATTAATAAAAAAAATTAAAACTCTCCAAATATTTAAATAAGCAATATTATAATATTATCTAATTTTGTTTACTCTTTAAAAATATTTCCATGTCTTTACTTTTTAACCATCTGGTTCAACCCTGATTTGACCATGATTTAACCTTTTTTTTTTTATGAAACATATTTCATTGAACAACGCAATAGCTAAACGGTACCCGGAGGAACCCCACCAACACAATGCCCTACAAAGAGGGATTA